GCTCCCCGCCCCGCCCCCCCCCCCCCCCCCCGAGCGCCTGGCGCGGATGGAGAGGCCCTGGGGCCCCCTTTCCTGTGGGGGGCGGCGGCAGCTCCGAGGATTCCCCCTCGGTGCGCGGGAGGCCCCGGGAGTGACGCAGCCGGGGGCTGCCTCTGCCTGGCAGGGGCATGGGGAGTTCCGGGAGGCGACACGATTCCTCCCTCGTCTCGCTGCCTTCTGTTGGGAAGCGCCGTGTCCCGCCCCGGCGGCGGGGGTAGGACTGCTTCATTCCGCTTATGTGCGCCTGCCCCGGGCCTGCTTCCCCTCCCTTCCCCGCACCCACTCCAGCGGCGCACGGCAGTGCTCTCTGACTGCCTGCGTCTCGATTACTTTTCAATGCTGGCTGTTTCTCTGTGTGCCGTGAACCCGGCTGGTAAAGGACACAGCTGGGGTCCTGCTGACAGGGAGCCTGGCTGTTCTAGGGGGCTGGGTAGAAGGCTGGGACTTTGGTTTTCGCTTGCTGTTATGACTTCAGGTTAATCAGTTTTCCTCCATACTGTTTCTGTTCCTTGTCTGTTCAGACTGGAAGTTCTTTAAGCCGGGGTGGTGCTGGTACACAAAGCTTCCAAAACTGTGCTTCCTGGCCCACACGTGGCCAGGTGCTTGTGTAGTGCTGCCTGTTTTACCTACTGTTCTCCCTGCATTAAACACTCCCCTCACATGCCACATAAGAGACTTCACTTACATATATCAACAATGGCATTCAAGAAAAGCTGAATCTGCAATCACAAATAGGGAAGGGGAATACTGTGTGACCCTTCTCTGTTAAAATGTTTTACAGACTTTACATTTGTGGACTTATTCTTTTAATTCTGTTACAGGTCAAATAGCTAAAATTTCTCAATTTTTGGTTCAGTTTAGCTCTGCCATAGGAATGCTCACTCCTATTTCTTTTTTTCTTAGAATACTACTTAAAGAAAAAGTGGTTTCATTGACATCTTGTTGATAAACAAGAATACTTTTACAACTTCATTTTTATTTATCTATAAATGTTATGCTGGTTTCACTTAAACTGATTGCCTTAAGTTACTGTACCTGTGTGAAGAAATTCATTGCTCTAAACCAAAAGTTTATCATTGTAGCTTGTATCTCTACATTTGCTGATGACAGCCAAATTGGTGATAGGACTGCCAATGTACTGCACTCATCTAACAAACAATTTTAAAATCATGCCTTAAACAAGTGCAAAGACTGGGCCTTTATAAACTATTTTAAGTCTGTTATTTAAAGGGAGTATTCATGAAAGCCACTGTGGCTTACTTCCTTAATCTAGACCAGTGGTTCTTGATGTTTCTAGGTTTAAAACATCTTGCTAGACACAAGGCAGCTCTCAGAAAATGCCAGCTCTTAGTTTTCTTTTTTTTATACTACAGAAAAAGAGAGAAAATATTGTGTTGGAAATAACTCAGAAAAAATACAACAGGTCAGAATGCTTTTGACACTCTGGATTCCTACTTGTAACTTTTGGATTTATCTTGTGAATTGTTTGCACACCGAACAGTGGCACTCTGCGGCATCCTTGAAAAGATCTCAAGGCAACTCAGGCTGATGCAGTACCCTAGGTAGTACTGGTTGTAAATTGTTCAGCATATGGTTTTCTATTTAATAAGTAAAGAGAGACATCAGAGTATATACACAGAGAGTTAATTTCAAAAACTGCTGTTTCATTGATTTGTAAGGGTTGTTTTTGCATTAGTGCTGGATTTAATGTAAACATGTAATGTGTGAGAGCTTCCCTTTTGTCTGTTTCCTCAATACCGTGTTTTCTTGAATCCAAGATGACTCGATTTAATATGCCTCCCCCACAGTAATTACGTTATATACATGGAAAACTTATAAATTTGTTATCATTTTCTATATAAAAAGCCTAATTACTGGGGGGTCGTCTTAAATTCATGTCCCAACTGCTGCAGTGGAGGAGTCAGTTGGGCTGTGCCCTGTTGTATTGCCTCCCTGCTCCCTCCCCCGTGGTTCTCTGCCCCGTCTGTCCAGCCCAAGGCATGGAGCACATGGTTGCTTAGGCCCCAGCCTAGTCAGACAGGTGGGTGTGGGGGGCAGGTTGCAACTCCAGCAGCCACCCCAGATGAGACTTGGGTCAGAGCTGCAGCAGCTGCCTGCTCCCCTGCTGCCTTGCATTCAGATCGAGGACAAAGGGTTCCCCCCACTCCTCCCCATGTAGAATGGGGAGAAAAAAACCTTATCTTGGATCCTATCCCCAACTCCTCAGTTTTCCTTTTTACTTGTTTTCAGGATCTGGACCTTGACTTGTTTTTCACTTTGATTGTTGTAGTGCCTTCCTCATTGGCTTATTCTTTGGTCTCCAGAAAGCAGTTCAAAGAGTGTCTCTTATTGTTCTGACCAAATTCAACCCATGTTCAGATTTCCATTTAAGCTATCTTTTACCTTTTTTTATAAAATGTAAGTTGGTCTTTTTCTGCAGTGCACTATGTTGGAGAGGTGGGAGGGGACTTCCTGGTATAAGAGAAAGGAAGGGAAGGGAGGAATGAGAGACTGACACAGCCTCTCTCCATCCAGGGAGAGCCCAGCTTGGGTTGGAGGCTAGAGAAGGGGAGAGGGAACTCCCTTAGGTAGGAGACAGGAGAGGGGGAGGGAGTCAAGGAAACAGGCACAGTCACTGTGGTGGTGGGGGGTTGGAGCTTGGCTTGGCAGTATGTTAGGGGAGGAGGGTCCTGGCTTGGGGGTGTGTGTGGATAAGATTCCCTTGGATGAGGGATGGGGGGAGAGAGCGGGGCTTAATTTACCTTGGCTTGTCTCTGCCCAGTGAATGTCCAGATGTGTCAGGCTTGGATCCTCCTCCTCAACCCTCTCCTTCCCCCCCTTGCAGAAAACCCATGGATTAGTGTGGTCTGTCAGCCCCAGGGTCCTAGGAGAATCCACCATATGTTAGGGACAGCAGCTGTGCCTATTGGGATTGTGCTGGGCATAGGGAAATGCGACAGGCAGAGAAGACCGTGTCATCAGAGGAAGGCACCTGGTGCCTGTTTTCCTGTCTTTCTCCTCTGGCTGTTCTGGGCTGGTGATTGCCCAGATAGTTCTATCTGAATACTTGGTGCAGCATCAGCCTAGGATTGAAGGACAGGGCGGGTGGTGTGGCAGGGGTCTTCAGTGAACATGTGGCCCATTGGAGGTATCCCTTGCCAAATGTTTTCAGCTTAGAGTGTCTGCCTTGCTCTCAAAGTTGAGGATATTTTGGGGATTCTACTGGTATACTGAACACCTGATTCCCTGACTGAACTAGCTGAGTTCATTTGGAGGTGGTGTCAGGGATTTTTTCAGGGGACGTCAGCCTGCATTCTGGGGTTGGCTCTGAGGGCTAGAGCAGGACTTCCTAGCATCCATGTCAACCAGAAGGCTATCTTGGATGATAACTGAGCCAACCCATGAAATGTGGCACATTCTGGGCTTCCCTCGATACATGAGCTCCGATTATAACTAAGAATTTATTTTTGAGTTATTATGCAATCAGCTCTGTATACAGTACACAAACAGAAAACATGACAAAAGTATTTTTTGTAATAAAATTAAAGTATGTTATAGTAGGTTTTTGACTTTTAGTGTATGATTTGGCTTTTTTTCTGGTTCTAAGATGGCAAGCCTCCCCTCACCACCCAGCAGTATTTCCAGGGGGTAAGGGCAGGGATTTTTGGTGGCAAAGTTCAGGGGTTAGGTGTGGGACTTCTGGTCCCAAGATGGCTGTTAAGGTGTGGGGCTACCCATGCGGCCCTTGACAGCTCACCAAAACTCATTAAGCGGCCCTCCACCCAAGATAATGGCCCACCCCTGCCATAGACACAGTGCACCTGTGTGTCCACCATTTTGGTGGTAACCATTATGGTATGCAAGGGAACTGAGGCAGCTTAAGCAGGAGGGTAGGCCTCTTGACTTGTGCTGTATCTGACTGATTGTGTCATAGATCTTTCTGCATTGTTGTCCAGTGAAACTGTTCAGGGTGGTAAATGGCCTGGTTAGTCCACCTTGTTTCTGCCTAGAAATTGAGATGTCTTCAGTCCTCTGTAATGTGTGCCACTTATTTGCAGACAAAATCTCTTATATCTATCATGACTTGGGGACCACCATTTTTTGCTGCAGAATTAGAGCCTGGTGTTGAGGAAGCCTGGTTTGTTCCTGTTCATGTGTTGTTTTAAATTGCTGTACCCCATTGATGTGGAGAACGTATGTGAAGGGACCTGGACCTGTGCCAGTGAGCCAGGGGAGACTGGGACCAGTGTTGGTAGGGGTTATCAGTAGCGTGCCCGTTAGAAGCTGTCAGCCTTCCTGAGTCCCATTATCCTTCAGTCTGTCTTCCCATGACACCTTAACTGATATTTTCCCGAGTTAGTTGAAATCCACCCTTCTGAAATTGGTGTCTAAGTCTTACTGACTTCATGCTTTCATAGTCTTAGAAGCATCAATTCTATCACATTGTGATCACCAGGGATCCTGGTTTTTGGTTAAAAAAAAAAAAAATAACCCCAAATCCACATTTTTTCCATAATTAAAATGAAATGTTATGGAAAAATGTGGATTTGATTTGTTTGGTTTTTTAACTGAAAATTGGGGATTTTTTCAAATGGGAGAAAACCTGGATCACTTTCTCTCAAATTTCCCATTACCTTAGTAATCAAAGTTTAATCTACCATAACAGTGTATGTTGTATAAATAGGTAGATTGCTCAACTGGATAAGTGGTTGTCTTACAATACTTTCTGGGATATCTTGAAAAAGAAAGTAAACATATTGACAATACTTTGGCTGGGTTGAGTTGGTATAAGAGTCAGAAACTCAGCCACCTTTTGACTTCATTCTAGTCCAGGCTGGGCAGTTAT